ATATATTTACAATTCATTTATACATGCAAAATATTCTGCAGTTAAAAGCAGCAACCCAGCAATCCTTCCCCTGGTTGGAAAGATCACTGGCACAAACAAAAAGCAACTAGAAGTTCTATCATATAAAACCCACTTACTTTAAGGATAACAAATATTATACTTTTTCTTTTTTTAAAAAAAAAAAAAGGGATAGTGCTGTATCCTTAAAAAAAGGCCAAAAAAATAAGGGACATGAAATTGGTTATTTGTCCAAGAGGAACACATTCAGATTTTAAGAGAAGAAAGCGACAACTCTGATTTTCAGAGGAAGCAAATTTATAATCCTTCTTGTCTGCCTACACTCTTACCTAAAATCCCCAAGAAAATATCTACTAAAGCACAACAGCAGAAACAAGCATCTTATGAACATATCTAAGATAAGAAATTCAAACTCCAAAAATTGTGCCAAAGGGAAACAAACCTACCCTGGGTATTTTTAAGGTTCTACAGTCCTGCATAATTGCCATTATTAGAAACAGTTTTAAAATGAAAAAGACCTTGTGTCCATGTAGTAATGAGAGCTATATATAAAAGTGTCAGAAATTTAAATGCTATAACTAACTTTCACTCACAGTTACTTTCAAGAGCTCTACCAGGATAGCAAGTTTTTAAAGCTGTTTGGAAGCTTACAATTCTACACACTCTCATTCTACAAAAGACAGGCTGTTTTGTTAGTTGATTTTCCCCCTCTAATTCTCATCAACCTTCAAGGTCTAAATCAAACTTCCAATTTCATGTATTTCAAACAGATAGCACATACTTAATACTGTTATGCAAAATTTTATTCAGGAGTATTTCCTAAGAGTTCTCCAGCAAAAGTTTCTTTAAAGCTTTCATATAAAACAATGCATAAATCATGCCAAGTTTCTTACAAAATCCTTAATCTGTTACTTATAAAAAAACTTTCATACTTTAATAGTCTGATGAGTAATTAGGTTACCAGAGACATTAATGTCATATCTAGCTATATGGTTTTCCATCCTCCTGTTAAGTAATTCACATTACCCTAGTAATGAGATTGCAATAATCAAAAAGATAAAAATTTGAGACAGTCTACTTATTTCCTGCAGCTCAGAGCAGCCCTCTTGCACTGCTGGGTTAACATAAGCAGAATCCCTTCCATTGGGACACCTAAGTCTTTACTTTTGCAGCCTGTTTCTTTTCACTCTGGCACACAGTTCTGGCAAGCTCATCTCCTAAAATCGTCTTAAAACTTCACAGGTGAGATAACCAGGAGTTTGAGGAAGAGCTAAAAGTTCCTCCAGGCTTGGAGCACTCTCATGATTTGCATATCATATGACAAAACCAACAAAGAATCTTCATTAGGTATCATTTTGTCGATGACTTGGTAGTTAAATGATACTATTTGTATTGATTATCTTAAGGGGCAGAGCTTTGAGCCTGCCATCTCTGGACTTTGAGGATTAGATGGAAAATGAAAGGTAGAATATGTATTTGAATAAAGATACCTCCAGATACACTATGCACTTCCTATGTCTACTCCTAAAGGCAAAGCAACCATTGCAAAACAGCTTAGGCTTTGAAGACTGTCAGTTCAAACAGAGTATGTTGAGACTGCTCTATACATGTATCGACAGTCCAAGGAGCTGAAGATGTTACAGTTAGTGTGCACAGTGGCATTCCAGCACCATGTAAACCCAATCTCTTACTCAAAAGACAAGGAAAGTGCAAATCTGATATTGTCCCAACTTCCCAGCAACAGTAACAACAACAACAAAGCATCACACATGAGCTGCCTCTCTGCCAACTTCTACACTGGTAGGTAGCGCAACAGACAGCTTACTGCTACAAAGAGGAATCAAGAATTAGTGCCACAAGCAGCCAGATAACACCACATTGACTATCAAGGAGCACAGTTCTGTTGGGCAAATTCTTAAAGTGGACCATCACCATAAGACATGTCTTTCCACTTGTATGCTTGGTTTTAAAAAGCAAGCAAAACCAGTCAAAAAGTTATGCACAAATTCAGCACTTACAATCCAGCACAGTCACTGACCTAAACAGTACAAGATGAGGAAGGTTTGCAACAGGATGACACAGACTGGCCAAAAGGTGCTACCAGATTTTTCTCAACAATTACTTAGCCCTGGCTCAAGGCAAGATGATCAAGGTTTCTCTAGAGTTTTATTTCTCTGTATTCTTAAATTTCTTTTAATACTTACAGAACAAAGAGAAAGAATGGGCAACTTGAAAGAAAGCTCTACATGCACAAGATGCCAAAATTCAGTCCTCTTATTTGTCAACACCAAACAGTGTTTAATAAAAGTCTGAAACCACAGCAGTTATGGTATTGACATTTCAAGTCATTTATCATGCAATCTCCTTTCTTTTTGTGTACAAAATATGGTAACACCAGTTACAAAAAGTGCTGAGAAAATGCCCACACTTTTCCTATATTTGTTATACATTCAGCCAAATTGTATTTCTTTGTGTATATCCTTGCATATTTCCACCTTCCACATAAAGACTGGTTTTGTTGAAACCATATGGAAATTAAAAGGCCATCAATTAAAACCAGAAATTTAATAAACACAAAATATTTCCCAAATAAATGCCTGTGGTAATCTAATTTCTTGTAAACACTGAACTCAACATTCTACAAGAGACCCAGATGGCATATTAACATTTCTGATCTCTTAAATCAAAAAAAAAAAAAAAAGGAGGAAAAAGAGAGTCACATTACATAAGAATTATTCATATTCCAGTCTTCTACAGAGGACTGAGACTAGTCAGCATGTTTGACTTTCAGAATTATTGATTATGAAGTTTAATTAATGAAGAGCTTTAAGCAAAATGCCAATATCTAGACTTCAAAATTAAACAAATGACACCTTGAATATGAAGTCAGTTTAGAAGACTTGTAGCAATTCTATTACTCCTCAATATATACTGAGAGAGAGACAGACAAAAGGGAAGGACGCTAAGCAGCCACTGGTATCCCTAAACACAGCATACATCTCAAATAACTCAATAAAATTAGAATGAATATTCCTTGGGTTTGTTAGTTATGTATACTAATTTTTTCACTTATCTGTTTCTACTGCAGTTATGCTTTCTGAATACCACTTTATCAAAACAAGACTGTTAACCAAGTATAAACTAAGAAAACTACGAAGACAGGGCAATAAAAATTTAAAAACTGTAACTTTTCTCATGCAGAATGTAGATTGAAGAAAAAGGTTTTCTGAAAACTGCCTTCCCCTCACCACCACCCAAAAAGACATTGCAGGTTTTACAATAAAAATTACTTCCCTACCTGTTCTACAGTAATCAACCCATCTGAAGGTTCAGATGTAGTCTGTGAAGGTAAAAGTTTACACAGCGTCCCTAGGAGCAGAGACACTTCCTTCATGCTTCTCCAGCAACATACAAGAACCATTTGAGCTGTGACATCACATGTCTGCCTTTCTTTACCTTAAAAATAAAAATAAAAATAAAAAAGTCAACAAATGCAACAGTGTAACTCAAGGTTCTCAGATGCAGGCTTGTAATTTAAATTTCGCTTAGCCTGATCTTCTTACAAAACACAATTAACTCAAAAAAAAAGTCTAAACCTGCCTACTCAAAAGGTAATTCAGTAATTGCTTCCACTCCTCAACACTCACTGAACTTTATTCCACTTGCAAAAGGCAGCAACATAAACATTTAACCAGAAAAGTACTGCTTTCAAGAGTAGAGGTCTTTGGGCCACAATTCCTATTTACCTGTACAGTGAACTACAGAGACACGCACAGCTTTGGAGCCAGGCTCCAACCAACTCGCTGTCACTCATCAATCCATGCTCAGAGCACATTCCCCAGGAGCATCCCAGGAGGGAGAGCCGAGCAAAGGCATTTCTAACCCAACGCCGCCACCTCGTGCCCACTGTGGCACTCGCACGTTGTTTCCCCACTTGTTTCATACGGCCCGAAACTATTCCAAACGTCGGAAAAAACAAGTGAGGAAAAAGTTCAAAAGCCTGAGTAAACTATTGAATTAAAAAATGTACAGATAGTCTATAAATTTATTCTGTCTTACATAAAATATGCCAAAATTTACAATTTCTTTAGCGCTTGTAAATCTGAATTTCATAGCTGCTATTCATTAAAGCACACAAATACTACCTCGTATTTTACCACTGGAATCTTTCAAACTGAAGCTTCTGCAATTTCATGCAACAGGTTTTATTGCCTGAACATATTCCCCACTAGCCTTGTGTACTCTGGAGAGGGAAGTGACACTAACACCTTTCAACAAGAAATGCATTAGAATCCTAGAATCATAAATCTGTCAAGGAATACTTTTAATCTATGAAGTATTCATGACAGAAAAGGTGTTAAAGATTCCCTGGTCAGTGCAGTGAAGGCATGAGAATCTAGGCCAATATCAAAACAACTAATTTTCTCTTGTGGCTTGAGAGAAATTAACCACAATCTTCAAGAAACACAGTGAATTATTCTTTAAAACCACGTCCATGAATAACTAGCTTCTGACAGATTTACTGAAGAACTGAAACATTACACGGAGCAAGTAACTTCCAGTTCTGATCACCCACATCAAACGCCTGCTCTGGAAAGAATAGCTTGATTTAATTACTAATATAGCATTGGATTTACCTCTCATTTCTGTGCAGTGATTTTTGGTTGGCCTGGAGTCAGGTACCTTTTCAGGTTCCCCATTGCAGTGTTCTTTCAAAATTTTTGCTTGTATAAAATAATCATTTGTGTCCTGTGGTTGTATCTCATGCAGAATCATCCGCAGGCGACTTGCACTTTCTGCACATTAAACAAGAAGGATATTTAAGATAGTTTTTTACTTCCAGTTCCTTATACTGATGTAATTAATTTTGGGCGTGCAAGTATAAAAGAAGTTATTAGCATTGAAAAAAACAAACCAAGTAACTATGGTGATTACAACAATTAAAGAAGAAAATCACAATTCCCAGTCCCCAGCTTTGAAACAGAGGCAACTACACAATCTGCAAGTGTTTGTGGTTTTTTAGTGCAGAAGTCAGGACAACCTCTATCAGAAGTTAAAGGAGAGGCTTAAGATTATGACATAAAATGAGAAACTGAAAGGGAGGGGAGCTCACTCCAGTTCTGAATCACTGGAAGACAAACAGAACTTCAGGAGCATCAGATTTTAACACAATTCTTTTGGAGTTCTGTTTCTTTTTCTTTACCTGGATCACTATCCATTGGAATAAGACCCTCTGGTGATGAGCTCTGTACTACTGGTGATACTACAGCAGAGAGTTTGTATGACATCAGAATGAGCCTGGTCACCATTTCCTTCCATTCAGACACTAGTGTCAAGTTACTTTAAAAAAAAAAAAAAAAATCAATCAAGAACAAAACCACAAACAAAAACCATCACAACATACATTTAAAATAATTTTACATTTAAAAGAAAGAACTGAAATTAAAAACACTTCTTCAACAGTATTTATGAAAACTATAAACAGGGTACAGATTGAAAAGTCCTAAGGCTGAGTTTAACACTTACAAAGGAAGTATCAAACAGTTAGCTAAACAGTGCAGCAGCCAGAAAAAGTTCTAAAAGCCACAGGTACTGGATTTGATTATAAATAATACTGTGTGCTTTTATGTTCTCCTGAGCAGCTCTTCCATCATGCTTCAATATGGAGTTACAACTTAGTATTTAGCACATTGTACTTACTTAAAGGGTAATTGCTGCAAAGCCCCAGTTATACAGTGCACTCTCCCATACATTGGGAATGATGCTGCAGCTTGAAGCAGAGACTTCTTGGATTGAAAGATTTCTTCTTCAACATTCACCAACAAAAGCTTGATAACTAAAATTTTTTAAAGCACAGATTGCCATTATAAATACATACATTGCATTTTCTAAGAAACAGATCTGCTTTAAGAGGCATAAAGCATGTTTACAAAACAATTCAATGGAAAATGCACAGAAATTTCCCTGTTTACACTTCTTTTTTTGTCATTTAAATAAAAGTTATTGTTGATTTTCAGTTACCTAAACTCCAGCAATATTTGTTATAGTCAATTTAATCTATCTCAATCGAACAGCAGCTGTTAAAAGCACAACCCACATCCTATGCTTGGGGATAATCCCACAGCTCACAACAAAGTCAAAAGAAGTTATATCACACACTGCAAGTCAGACTTCACCCTCAGAGCCACATTAATACAACAATCAGTTCAGCAGAATATTAAAGGTAGAAGTTCTCAGTTAAATATCTGAACCTTGTTTTCCACTAAAGAACCTGACCAATTTTCAAGGAGATCTGCCTATTTTAATTACATTTATACCCTGCAAAATCCCAGTGTCAGAATGGGAATGAATCACAGAGCCAAATAAGGAACTATAGATAACAACAGGAGACACTTCATAACAATGAGACATGAGGTTATCCACACATTTCCTTCATTTATGGCAACACAACTATGTCTCAAAATCATTATTTAACTGCATATGAATAAAGTATTAATAGGCATCTGTAAAGACGCAAATAATGGCGCAAAACAGTACATAACAGTGAGTTTACTACAAATTATATAAAATGCATTATTACAAATAAGGAATTTAAATATTTTAGTTGTATTGGAAATTAGAAAAGGTGGAGGAAGCCTGTTTAAGAAATTTGCCAAATCTGCTAGAGACAAACCCTGTCAGCTTTCACCCAGAGGCTCTAAACCAAAGGAAAATATTCCCTACGTGAAGAAAGCAGAATTACTGTGGATATGCATGTGCAGGACTGCAAATCACTCAGAAATTTGGTTCCAAGTGAACAGAGCTCCAAGGGGCAGTGCTGCAAGCATCAGCTCCTGGAACATGACCCAGAACTACTACAGCTGCCTTTCACTCAGGGTGAGAGAGCTCTTAGGGGAAACACAGGTTCCTTCCCTGCACTTAACACACTCAGCTTCACCAGACTCGCTCACTAGGGCTACACAGGTTCCTTCCCTGCACTTAACACGCTCAGCTTCACCAGACTTGCTCACTAGGGCCTCAGTGTCACTTTCAAATGTCACTGGTCAAAATAGTAACAAAAGTTACCTTTTAGAATACTCAAGAACCTCAAGACAAACAGGACTAGATTAAGATCTTACTAAGGTACTTGACTTCTTAGCAGCAAACCAAAACATACTTAAAATTGTGTTAAAAATAAGCATCTCTTACTAAGCCTCCTATCAAAAGCCTTAAGGAAAAGTAGTGGAATTTTAAATAAATCTAAAAAAGAGGGGTTAACTTTCCAAAAATCTTACCTGTCAAAGTGTTCTTCTCCACTGTACTCACTGTTGTGTTTTCATCACTCTGGGGGTTATGCTCAATCCATTTTCCCAAACAAATATGCTGCAGTCCTGTATGATGTACTAAAAAGTTCAACAAATATGAAGCAGTGACACAATCATATGGCTTGGTACTTGTGCTGAGATCCATGGCTGCTTGGAATAGAAGACCTATATTTTCAGAGTCCTGAAAAAAAAATCCAACAACAATATCACTCATTTTATTGATCTTCCAAATTGATTTAGTTAAGCTACTTAACACCCTGGAATCTGAGAATCTGCTTTACAGTGAATTTGCTGGTACATATTTCTTAAGGAACACTTACTTTGTGCACTGATCACCTTACACTCTAAACATGCACATGTATGCAAGTATTTAGCAAATATAAAAGTACATATGCACTGAGGATGGGGCTGGTCATTTATAAAGCAGTATTCAATCACACTGCACTTCACAAGGTGACGATTTTTTTTTTCCAAATACTGTGCTTCATCTGCTAATGGACATCATAGAGAAGCATAGTTTACTAGGAAGCAGCATTTATTCACCAGTACTTATTAATTTAAAATTAACTTATGTAGTAATAAACAGAAAAATCAGTATCAAGTCAAAAAGCAAAATCTGTGAGAAATCAAGAAAGACAAATAGCTAATGAAATCTGAGACCAACCAGAAAGGAAGAGAATCATGGGGGTGAATTTCTTAAAATCCAAGAGTAACCAAGTCAAAATGTCTCAATCATTTACAAAGAGATATCAAGCTAAGCAAGGAGCTTGCATTAATTATTTCTCTGATAGTTCACAGTCATACCCAATGAACTTTCCAAATTCCTTCAACCATAAGTGAAAAAATCCTCCTTAGGTAAGGGCAGAATCTGTATAAAAATACATGCAAGGAACACTACTGCAGGCAACCTGGACTGACTACTCATTTTTCAGGAGTCAAGCTCTGTACCTGGTATAGTGCAGAATATTCATCTTTCACAAAATTACTCCCTTTAAAACGACTTTAAATCCCATACCTGTAACTTAAATGCAACATCACGTAGTTTCATCAACAGCCCAAATGCCAGAACTTTTACTTCCTCAAAAGTACTGGCAAAACATTGGATCAAAGTTTGGACACGAGTAGAATCGATCACCTGATCCAGCTGAAAAACTTGTGCCTGACCTGTTCAAAGAAATTAATGCCTTAGAGAGTTTTGCTGTAACTCTTTCCAACATAAGCACTGTATCCACATCGTGCTTTGCTATACCAAAAGAAGCATTAAAATAACATTTTAGCTAAAATTTATTTTAATTTTACTTCTCTTAATAGGTCTTAAAATATCATGTTTACTGTTGGGAATAAAAAAAAAATCTTACCTTATCCAGAGAATCACTCTCAGTAATATAGAAAGTAACTTATAGCCAAAACCAGAATCCCTTTTATTTCCATTAAATTCAGCACTGACACTAATCTTTATTTTAGTTTTGTGTAAAAATTCTTTTCCTGTAAGTATGCAATACTAGAAAATAATTCCTTTTAAAAAAAAGTGCAAGAACTTCAATGTGTCTTGGTGCTTGGTGTTTTGATTTCTTTTGTCATAGGAATAATGCCTTAAAATGTAAGCCATTGCCATTTTTTTTACCAGCTTTTAATTTTTACCAGCTTTTAATTTAGATGTGAAGGAGTCATGACTTCCGGGAACTAATGCTGTAGAGAAGCCAGAAATTTTAAGATGCAAACAAGTGCACCACTATCCAGTACAGAACACAACAGCAGCCTAATCTCCATAAAAGTAATGTCAAGTTTTAGAAATCCTAAGGCTGCTATTACAAACAACTCTCAATACAACCATGTAAAAAAAAAAAAAAAAAGGCAATAACACTACACTACGTATTCATAAAACTCAACGTGTTCATCATTTATCAAGGTATTCTGAGAAGAGATCTAACATGACAGCATTTTTTCTTCCTTCTCAAAATCAACTTTCATCTTACACATCTCATTTCTTTTTTAAAAAGTTACAATTTAACACTGAAAACATACTTTAATGTTAGCCATATGATCCAGAGATAAGATTTAGCAACACCAACAATACTCCAAGGCTGTTAACTAACACTTCCTGAATGGGGCCTGTCATAACACTGTGAAGAAAATTTAAAATAACAGCAGCACATCACCAACTGGCTGATAAAACTGTTTCTTATTTAGTATCATAGTCTCATGAGGATATGCAAGCTTAGTCAATCACGAGTTTTTATGATCTCAACATTTTAAATTATCAAGATATTTGAACGGGAAAAGGGAGTAAATTTATCAAATATACTGAAACTTGTCCAGAAGTTTTCTACATAATCACTAAAATTCATTGAAAAGCCTTGCTAAAAAGAAAAGGCTATGCAAGAAAATCCCAATTTATGGAAGATATTGGGACAAATATTTCCATTTACTTCAAAATTCCTTTTTCCAATAAAACTTACTATCCGTCCTTCAGGTAAAACAAAAGCAATGCAGGAAATGCCACAGAAATTAAGGACTGAGAATACCACTTCACTTTGACAGAAATTGACTAAATGGCATAAAAGAATCTTCTTCAGCACCATCCATTCCTACAGTCTATAAATTAGGCTTCTCACCTTTTGGAACAGAAAATATTTCTGCTATTGATTCCAAAATACTTAGTGCAGAAAATCTGGTTGGGTGTGATGAACCAGGAAACAATACCTCAAAAAGTCTGTCACATACAGAAGACATGAAATCCTGAAAATCACAAAATATTTAAGAGTTGACTTGCTGTCCTACAAACAAAAGTCTAAGTAGCTGAATTCAGGATATTCTGCTTTATAAGTTACCCCCCAAAAATTATGACTTTACAGTCCATTTTGGAAGAATGGGAAGCTTAACTTCATAATATTGACAAAATTTCTTGTTTCCTAGAGTACAGTGAAGGCTGGACAATCATTTGGGTTTTTAAACTCAACAGTTTCCCTCTCTCACTCCCACAAAAAGAGAGCCATTGTACCAAACCTTGAAAATTAGCTGACCAATAAAAGCAGAACTCAAGACAAGAAACAGTTTAACACAAAGAAACTGATTATGTGAGCTTTCAAATAGGAAAAAAAAGGACAAATACAAAAGAACTCTTCATGCTGAAGCTGTGTCATTCATTCTCTCACGGATTATTCTGGAGAGCTAGAAAAAGGCTGGAGCTCAACTGATCTCTATTTCAAGCCCACATATAAACACCATGTAAAACTCACTACTAAATGACCAACAGCTGACAGGACATCAACTCAGAAATTGTTTCTGGATTCAGGGTACATCTCCAGCCATCCCTCACCGACTGCTGCTTCAATACACATCATGGAGCAAACCCTCAGAAAAGAATGTTTATTACTTTGAAAAAAAGTGACCTTAAAGACACCCTGCAAATACTAATGGGCACTCAGTTCATCAACAATTGTACATTTAGTCAAAATCAACTTGCCTAAGTGCATCAGAGTGGACAAGCTCCTCAGCACTGTTAGGCTTTACAGCTCTTTTCCTTCTTCACTGCACTATTTCCTAACACAAACACAGCCACACACACACAGACTAACACACTCAGAGGTGTTCAGGAACAATGAACTTTCAGAAATGCTATACCACCTCTTATATCTGTATCTCTGACATTCTAACTTACTTTGTATTGCTGCAAAATCTCCAAAGGATGCATTTTAGTTGAGTTTTCAAGTAACTCTTGCTTGGTTTTATTTTGCTCCAATTTATAAAGCCCCTGGGAACTTTCTTGTATCCTACAAAATAACTTTTAAAACAAAAGCAAAACATAGGTAAAGCAAGAATCATTGACAGTTAATAAGGGAAAGGCAGATTTTCAGTTTATTTTCCAGATTAATACTGCTTGTAAACTTTAGCAAGTTTGCATACAGCATAACACAGAACAGATCCTTCTCTCTCCACTCCAAAACCAAGGTTTTGTTTGCCATCTCTCTTGCGACCAATCTTTCCCCTCCACCCTCTGCACCTCCCACACCTCCTTCCATCTTCCTCCTTAAACTCATGCCTAGTCTTCTCCTACCTCCTCATTTTCTGCGGAACATATGTTCCTCTATAAAAAAAAGCTCAATCAATGCATACAATTTTTACAGCCTCAGTGTGTCCTACAGAGTTTGACTCACCTCAGGAGTGCTTCTTCCACCTCTTTTATTCCCCACTGGTAATTCCTTTCTTATTACACTCCCTCTAACACTAGTTTTCCATCTCATGTTCCTCAGTCTGCACCAGGCAAGAATGGAAAGAGATGGACTTCTCTTTTGTTTCTGCCAACCCTATTGCCTCATTTATCACCCATCTCAAATTGATGATTTTCCCCTTTCACACTGCATCTTTTCCCATTACCCTCTTCCAAAGTGTTCTTTACACACACATGGTTTCCTCATTTTATCCACATCCTTTCTCTTCCAAAGTGTTCTTTACACACACACGGTTTCCTCGTTTTATCCACATCCTTCTACCATGAGCTACATGTGACCTCAGCAACTTCCACAATGTTGACAGACTCAATCCCTGCAGGCTGTAATGGCAGAGCCACATGTCATGCTGTTCCCTTACTATTTCTCTACCTTGTCTTTTGAGTCAGGTTGGTGAGGCTGATCAAGTGACTGTGAATTTCCCTGAGGTCTGATAAGTCTATGTAAGCACAACCTTAGCTCACAGCAAAAGGCAACACAAGGCTCATTGCTTACATTGTTTAAGCTATGGTTGCCTGCAATGACTTATCACCATTCAGCTGGGTAATATACACAGCACAGTCCTGGTTTTAGAGCTTCTACTCTTTCAGATAAGCAACTTCGTAACATACTCGGTAATTTTTTAAAAAATGCTATTATAACTAACATAATAGGCACATTAGATATTGCTTATAGATTGAAATTACCTTTCTTATTAAAGAAACAATCTGTTGCCTTACTGAAGGAGACTGGCTGTTCAAGTTGTACATGATAAAAAACTGAATTAGATGCATTTCTTCCAAAGACACAATTTCCGTGGTACGATGGGTTTCACAAAGTAAACCTAAAGCATCAATGCAAACCTGAAAGATATTTAGAAGTCAACCACAGAAGAGTTACAGGCAGCTACGATGATACATGTGTTTTAAAACAATGCTGACACAGTGATCAGGTTGAAATCAATTACACTAATTCCAAGGCACACAAAAAAGCTGTCCCTTTACCTGACTGTGCTGATGAACCAGACCTTGTTTTATGCACTCAGTGGATACAAGACCATTGCTCAAGATACTTGAAAGTTCCAGGTGTCCATGAGCCCTGGCTGTTCTCAGGCATGCCATTAATGCTCCAAGAGCTCCCCTAGTACTACAAGAGCCTAAAGAAAATGAAACACAGTCACAATTATTGTTTGGTTAATACAAACAATTACTATTTGCAACACTTGTTAGAAACTCCCAATACCTTCAATCCATGATCCTACCCCCTTTTATTTTTACCCCATAAATCCCAAAAGACAGTGCTGCCAGAGATTAAACTAGTTCTAAATCCACTGGTTCCCAAAAAGCTTCATCTTGAACATGACATACGAAAAAAAGACCTTGGGAGATGTCACAAGCCATTATTTTAGAATTACACTAAATCATACCATAAACTACAAGAGAATCATAAATCTCATATCCACACATCTGCAACAAAGACAAATCTGTAAAATCCTGTTACTGGACATGCCTGTGCAAGAAACAACAGCAGAACAGATATGTAACAAACTTTGGCATATAAAGGGAATGGCAAGGAACCTACAGAAAGGATACTAAGTATTTTGCTGATGGCATGAAGACACACAAGATTATTAAGACTTTCACCTTGTAATTCTAACAGCAATAATAACCATCTGGAATTTTTCTTCCAGATTAATTCTAACAGTAATAACAGATCAGAAGTCAGATGCCTAGAGATTCTTTTTTTTTAAAGAACCCATCATAATTACAAATACATTGTGTATTTTCTTACCCAGATTAGCATCTGCAGAGGCCTGAAGAATTCTAATCATGTAGCTCAGACTGTCAGGGTTACATTTGAGCAATTTTGGTAAATAGTAATCTATTATGTAAGTGGTCTGGTCATGGTTCCCTTCACACAGTATCAACAGAAGAGGAGAAACCCAGATCTTGTGCCACTTGTCAACCCAGGAGCCTTCTTGAAAACTCAATGTAAAATGGGCCTTGTGATTTGTGAACATGGCTTCCAGAAGATCACTAGCATAAGGTGCAAGAGACTGATCATTCATCACATCCAGGATTTGTACTGGAATTGTTCTGTCCAATTGTAGTATACTTTCAGTGCCCACACAGTCCACAAGACAGCCAAGGGAAGAGTATTTCCCTTTTATGTGCCAATCCAAACTTAGTAAATGCTTTATTAGCCTTGCAAAGAATGGGTCTGATTTTCCACTGGATCCAGTAATGGTGGTTTGGTGTATGTGAAGAAGATTCTTGAATATCAATTTGGTTTGGTGTCTAATGGCATCCAGAGGGTGGTCCCAGTGTGTATAAATGTATTCCAGCAGCCTTCCAATCACATCTGAGTTACCATTGAGTTTGATTTTCAGATTTGGAGAGTCTGAATCAAGGGCAGCCAGTGCTGAATTAGTCCAAATAGCAAGGACTCTAGACAGAGCTGTTGCCACACTGGGTTCTTTTAACCTTTTAAAAAGAAAAGAAAAAAAAAAACAAAGAAAAGTTTGTCAATTTAATTTATGAAGTTTAAAAAAAATAATACGGTATTTCAAAATAATTATTAATCACATTCATTTACCTTACACAAAAACAGGTAAGGAGCCACAAGACATTCCTTGAGGCAAAGGAATGAACACAGAAGTAATGAATTGGATGTACCCCTAAATATGGGGAAAAGAAACCCTGAAAAGTCACACTTGCCTTTTTTTTTTAAAAAAAATAAATTTACTGTGCACCTGCTGATATTTGAGCAGAATTATGTTATTGCATGTTTCTTGAAAATCATAAGGAAAGCTTTTCATTACCACATAAAACCATCAAAACTGAGTACCCTCTGTGCAAAAACAAAATCACAAAACTGACCTCCAGGGCAGGAACAAAGATTGAACTGAATACATGGTTTAATCTCAAATTCAACAGTTAGGTAGGCCCCTAGATGCAAGTAGTCAATGCTTGCAGTCAGAAAAAAACCTAAAACTCATCTTACTTCAAGTATTCCACTCACTGGCACATTTTGTCTTCTTCTGAGCTTTTACAAGGATAGGAGTTGATGTCCTGAAACTAAAGTTTATCTGTCTCTATAAGAATTTATTCTGACACACCTCACCATAAGGCAGTTGGTGAACTAATCCCACTCATTTTAGAAAACAAACTTTCATTTTAGCATGCAAGAAAAAATTGAAACATAGAACTATATACAAGATTATTGTATTCTTCAAACTTATAGTTATTCTGAATATCTTAACAATCACATGATCTGTGGCAAAATCTAGTATCAGTACACTGAAAACATCAAAAAGATATTCCACCAGGACCATATGAGTCATGCAAAAATAGAAGTAAAAAGTTAATGCCCTCCTCCCAAACATGAAATCACACAAATCAGAAAACAAGCTTACTCTGAACTCAAAGACAACAAGACTGGGGCAATATCTAATAATAATTTCTCTCCATTTTCACTCATGCTGCCATTCTTCCAATCCAGCATAGCCAGTGCTCCATGGCAGAGAAAGAGAAGGACAGAGTCAGGGAGCTGTGCTGTACACAGAGTCCCACAGCTGCTCACAAACCACTCTGGCACACCTGATTGCTTCACTGTCCCAAGGAGCAAGTCACTGACCTGTAATAGCAAAATGACATCCATTACAATACTTCAGCACAGGAGAAAAGCTGTTTTGTGCGTAACTTAGGATACTTGAAGAGATTTCTTGTACATTGTTTTTCTTAAATTCAAAATCCTACCCTTACGATTTCATATGTCAAGGAGAGAATAAAGGTTTTACACTCCAACTAAAGGCTGATACAGAGGTTGGCAAGTCCTGCTATCCACATATGCAAAGCCTCCAAACAACACTGACAGCACTGATAAACGACACTGTGACATTGCACAGTTTTTAGTGAAGAAATACACTTACCAAGGAAGGTAATTCTTCAACTGGTTCATACATAGCTCTAATAAACAGGATGACAGCCAGTCCCGAGGTAGTCTGAACAGTTTGCAGGAGTGTTACTACACGGCAGAGAAAGACATTTTACATTAGAGTGCAGCAGACTTTGTGCACTAGGACTATGTATCAAAATGATAAAGATGGCATGGAATTTTCCTAGACTAGCTGTAGCTTCATAAACACAAATCCATAGTATCTGCCTGGATAGCAAGTATTAAGGAATTTATGCTCTAGAGTAATAGGAAACTGTTAATACCTTGTAACAGACAGAAAATATAGAACAGCCCAGTGAGACAAGAAGGGCTGTGGCAGAGCCTATTGGCACACATCAGTACAGTGTACAAAAAAGTCTGTGTAAGCAGAAAGCACAGTATTGCACTAACAATAGTTCTGACAGCATAATTCATAGAGATGTGTACATTTCTGGTAGGCAGAGACACTCAGTGAGTCTCCAGAGCATTTCTGATAGTTTCTAAATAATTAGCAATAGCATTTACCTTGGAATTTTTTGTAGCAGGACAAGTTAAACTGTACACTCCAAAACTGCAATCTACAAATCTTTCAAAAGACCAACTACTCTTCCCACTCCCATTAATCTCAGTATCTCAATTTCCATTCAAGCTAAACTAAGTTTTTATGCATACTGGTTGTGTTTACTACAAAGGTAACAAGACTGAGTTAATAAAAATATTTGGGTTTGAATGTTACTAAACTTACCATCCATCAGGCAGTTTGTGGAGCTTTTCAGTAAACTACACATACATTGCCAAACAAAAGATTCATGATGTTTCCAAAGATTTCCTTGGATATTTCCTTGCAATTTCTGTATAAGCATCATTGAAACTTTAATGGCTATCAGTAAATCATGCATCAGCTGAGTCTGAACCATACGATTTCCATGGTTCTTTCTGTGGAAACAAAAAAAGACATACATGCATACAAAAAGGAAATTAAAACTGTTCTTCACCATCCCCAGAAAACTACATTCTGCCAACTTCAGACAGAATTAATTGTAAAAACTAATTTGTTGCTTGAGGTGACTAGACATGTAACTATAGGGAAACAAGAAGCTGGCTCAAGGTCAAAGCGAAGTTTACAAAGGAAATGACAAAATCTGCTACAGTTTCTGCAGGTTCCTGTGATCAACTTTTCACTCATTTGATACTGCCTATGCAGAGATGAACTTTTCCAGAAACCTTCCAAAAAGACCATGGAAAGTGGAAGAGTATTTCTCTACCTGAATTTTTCATCTATTAAATTACACTGTTTAGTCACAATTCAGATAGCAAAACGACAACTCAAAGGTCTCCCCTTAGAAGTAGCAGCTCTAGCACAGTATCAGTGCCTTACCTCTCTTATTTTACATCACATTATCACAAAAGAAACTAATCAGCAGCTTTTTGTTTCATTCAAAACACCCATCACTGTAAAACGGCATTCCCATCTTTCATCAGTGTATAAGTATCAAAGTGATCTTCCAAACCAAAGCACATTATCTTGCAAGAATGAAAGAAAAACAGAAAAACTAGAGCTTATATTTAATTCACTTGCCTGTTTTCTTCCTGTATGTCAAGCAGAGACTTCTGCAGAAACTGAAGAACTAGTGAAAATAATTATGGTATGAATTTAATTTTAAAATAATTAGAACAGAAAAATTCCAGCAAAGCAATCACACATACACATCAAACCCAGGTACAGTGTACAGTTAGCCATATAGTGGTGTTTCTTCCACTCCATCAACAAATTAAGCTGACATTTCAGTACGGACCAAAACAAGCAATGCTACAACAAAATCTCAAGCTGTTTTGCAACAACCTGGTACAAAACAAAGTTTCCAACCAACTTGGCCCAATCCTATAAAGTATTGAGAGTGAAAAGCTGAAACTACCAAGAGCTAAAAGACAGAGCAGCCATAAAAGGTCCACAGGAAGCTGTGAACACTATCTGCATGCTGAGGGCACAGCTATGTCATGTTATCCCATAATACCAGCAGATCAGATTTCTGCCAAGTTATCACCAAAGAAAATTCTTGCCCAGCAGGCCTGGGTTTGCTGTAGTTAAGACTAGCAGTTTACAGCTCAATGTTCCCACATCCCACTTTATCATTAAGCACAGGACAGTAAATATGTCACGTAAAGAAGCATCACCTCCCCCAGCACTTTAAGAGCCACTCAATGGTACCTTTTCAGATTTATATCTAGGGTTGCTCAATAAAGCAAGACTGACCTCCAGAAATTAAAGGTCCAAATGAAAGGAAAGTCTTTGACAAAGAAGTACCATGTGAGGGTATCACTTCTTAAAAATTAACCAGGAGGAAATCAGATCTGTTAGATCTTCATGATTGCTTCACGTTACTTCTTCAGACACACCCCTCCCCCAATAATCTATAGTAAAGCTTATTTTACTATAAATATAACTTTACCTTCTTCAAACAGGTTCTCAACACTTGCTCTACCTAGAGGAAAGAAAATACATTTTAAGTACTGAATACTGGCCAGTACTATTTATTTTACAGAACTGTAAATGTTACAATCAGGTGTGGCACCAAGGTGCAGAGCTGTGTTGAGCAAGTTAAACCAAAAGACAATATAGTGGATGCCACTGTACCTAAACTGAAGTCCTCCATACAGGAAGCAAGGTTGTCCAGTACTTTTCTGTACAAATACACATCTGAGGTTTTCAGTTCTTCCCTAAGGCAGCACACAAAGCTTTGCACAGCTAACTTCAGCAACGCTTCAGGAAGACCATTCAGAGAACTGCAACAGTAAGAAACAGCACAGTTTGCTTACACTGAGGTGTTGAACATCCACTCAACTAAAGTCAATGTGAGCTAAAACTCCAATAAATAGATATTGCTTCCTGCACAAAAACCTAGTCTGGCTTAAAATCAATAGACACATTCTAATTTTTCAGCCAGAAAACCTGTCAAAGGGGAATAAAGCTCTGACATAAAACCAAATACAGGATGGAAGCCCTCCATCCCTCAGTGGGACAATTAATGCTTTCAGACATAGAAAGGAAGGCTGGGTCTTAAGCACTGGATCTTAAAAAATGTTAATGCTGAAGAAATAAAGCAGGAATTTTGCAGCATAAATTGCAATAATAATAGGCACAAGAAACCACAGTTTAGTTATGATTCTTCTGAAGTGCCTTCTCTTGACAAAGTTCAGATTTTTTTCACACAAGTATTTTAAATTTCTGCTCTAACACTGGATTTTGCTGATTACACACTATGTTGTCTTTCCACTAATGAAACAGATCAAAAATAATGCTTCACCTTGAAGTGATTTATCCAGTGATATGTTATTCATAATTAAGATTTTTAGCTAAGGAAGAAAGAAAAACAGTACTGATATTCACATATGAGTACTGCAAATTCTCAGTAATTAAACTACAGCAATTGGTAGTGAACGACAAATTACTGACTTCAGGTAAGGAGAGCATTTAAAAAAAAATAAAGGCTTACTATTCAATTTTTTACCTTGCTAATACTTTTTTCAAAGGATTCTTTGTACCCAGTGAAAAATATGTCTCTCCCAAAACATCCAAACATGCTTTAATCATGGGATCACATGCAGAGTTCTGATCCATCTTCTTCACCAATGGCATAATCTATAATCAAAAGAACACATGATAAAGAAAAAATTCTGGATATACCATCATTAACAGAGGCAGATTTCCCTCTCATCCAAGTATATGGTGCAAAACTGTCCTTCCTTTCTTTACCTTACCCTATGGAGTTTCAAGTGTTAAATAATGTTCCAAGAACACCTCTAATACCAAAAAACATACAGAATACGAAATTTGGTATCACTTCTTTCCACCAGTTTCAGTAACTGTAACCTTTGCCAATTTAAGTACTAGAACTACACTTCTACCTGATGCACATCCAGTAGTAACAACTGCTTTTTATCTATTTCCAGGAATGCATAAAACTTTAATAATGCATAAACTTTATAACACTTATTTTGGAACTGTAACAGTGCACATGACACATTGTCAGTTACCAAAAACCACACTAAGAGCAGTGAAGCCTTACTTGTTTAATACACTGGATCTGCTGGATGCCATTTCCCAACTGTGCACAGTGCAGAAGGAGAGATGCCAGATTTTGCTCTTCAGCCTTTGAAAACCCTACATGTGGAAGAAGAGTCCCTTTTCAGAAAGGAATTTCAATAAGCAGTATAAACAATATATAATTCACAACAATAAGAAATGACTGCTTAATTCTCAGGTTTCTTTCCTGTTCCAGAAAACCTACTGGTGCCACAAACCCTTAAGTCACCTTTCGACACCTTCACATCAAGTTTTTTTCTAACAAACAATCAGTTTTACTGGAATATAATAGTAGGCCATATCTGCAGTATGAAGCTGTGATTCACAAAATCATAGCATGGTTGAGCTGGAAGGGATGTCTGGAGGTTATCTGGTCCAACCCCCCTGCTCAAGAATGGTCATGTGGAGCTGGCTGCCCAGGACCATGGCCAGATGTTTCTGAATATCTCCAAGGCTGCAGACTCCCCAACCTCCCTGTGAAAGTTGTACCAATGCTCAGTCACTTTCACGTTAAAAAAGTGTTTCCTTGTATTTAGTGGGAATCTCTCATGTTTCCATTTGTCTGTGACTTCCTGTCCCATCACTGTTCAGCATGGGAAAAAGCCTGAGTCTGTCTCATTTATGTCCTCCCTTCAAATATTTTTTACACATTGGTAAGAGCCCCCTGAGCCTTCTATTTGCCAGGGTGGAGAGTCCCAGCTCTCTCAGCCTTTCCTCATAGGAGGGATGCTTCAGGCCCTCCATCATCTTAGTAGCCCTTAGCTTGACACTCTCCAATACATCCTCATCATTCTCAGACTGGGGAGCTGAGAACTGGATGCAGAACTCCAGATGTGACCTCACCAGTGCTACCTCACAGTAACCTGAAACACAAATCTTGTACTACTTCATTTTGGTTTTTTTAAAGTAAGGATCACTGGAAGTTTATTTCACCAAACAAACAAAAACTGACAAAAGTAAAAGACCATTTGAAGTACCTTTAAATCAAGCTAACTACAGAAAACACAAAGAATGGGAAATCTAGTCAAGAGACCTCCAGACAACCCTTCCAACCTCAATCATTCTGTGACTCTTGGAAATTCAATGTTAGCCCACACATTAAGGCTAGCACTTCAGGTATGACTGAATGGCAGGTCTACAAGTAAGACCTTCTACCACCTTCAGACCAAAGGTAAAACAAAGTAAAGAATTTTCAACCCAAATACTCAGGGCTCTAAAGGATTCTTCTAACTCTAACAAGGCAAGAAGTCATTGTCATTACTTAATAAAAACAAACAACAGAAGAGCAAACACACTTAAAACCCACAAAACAAAACCATCAGAAACAAAACATAACAAGGAAAACACCAGATCAATTTCAATCGCTACTCAAACGCATTCTACTAGCAGATAAATAAATTACACATTAGTTCAGAATAAAACACTCTACTTACTCTGAAGTTTTTCAAGCTGCTGTTGATCAAGAAAGAAAGCATCTACCTGAATTTCCTTCTTCTTCTTTAAACCCATATTGGCTGATTAAGCAGCCCCTATTAAAACAAACCCAAACCCAAACCAACAAAACACCAAATCAGCAAGTCACATTGTTTTACAAGTATTATTAGAAAAACTTCCTATGATAATGTTTTTTTCACCATCCTGAAATAATGTTTACTGCAATATCTGTACAATTTTTTCTCAAAGTAATGGCTCTCTTTACTTTTGTCAACTTCCACTATTTGAAGCATTCTGTCCAAAATTTACCTACACTTCAAGACACAAAATGGAAGTCCTAGAGATCAGAAATTGCTGGATGAATGACAAACTCTCTCACTGGAGTTTTTACAGCACCTGTGACATAGTCTGTGACAATGCCCCTGGATCACTGTTTGGAAACATCATATGCAGAAGCATGGAAGTAACGACACAAAACTTGTGTTGCTCTGTTTTACTGTTCAAACTTATTCAACTTGTATTAATGTGAAGTTAGAACCGTGAGGCAAACAAAACTCCTTTGCTATTATGGATGTTACAAATAGCAAGTTGGTTTTGTTCTTTTAGGTAGCAGCAATTTAATGTGCAACAGTTTCACTGAGTTAAAAGCTGGGGTTGGAAGGGACCTTTGGAGGTCATCTGGACCACCCCCCCTACTAAAGCTGGGTCACCTGTAGCCAGTTATCCAGGGCCATGTCCAGGTCTCTTTTGAATGTTTCCAGGGGTGGAGACTCCACAGCCTCTCTGAACAACCTGTGACAGTGTTCAGGCACTCTCATGCCACATCTGGTGCTCCCTGACAGTGTCAGAGACCCTCCTGTGTTTCAGTTTGTGCCCACAGCCCCCTGTCCTGTCCTGGGCCTCACTCAAAAGAGCCTGGCTTGAACTTGTCTGCACACAGAATCATAAAATTTTAAAGGCCAGAATGGACCTTACAGATCAACTAGTCCCAGCCCCCTCCTGCCATGGGCAGGGACACCTTCTCACCAGACCAGGTTGCTCAAGGCTTTATCCAACCTGGCTGTCAACAGGGTTGGGGCAGCCACTACTTCCCTGGGCAACCAGCTCCAGTGCCTCACCACCCTTACAGTAAAAA